CCAACAGTCCCCAACCCCTCATTATGCCGACCCCACATTTTTACACATTGCTCGCAATGCACTTATCTCTCCCCAGATATATACGGCTGACTTTTAATTACCTTACTCACAACGGTGTCGCCTGTTGATAAGTTTGAAGGACAGCCAGCTCTGGGGTATACGGCAAAAGAGCAAGGAGTGGAAGAAAATGCGGAAGAGAGGGCTAGAGGTATAGGAATCCAAATGAGGGAGGAGAGGGAGATGTGTCGCTCTCTGACAGAACATCACAGTGTTGAGGCAGACATTTCATTGCATTGCCTGCCTGTGAAGTCTGAGTTCAAGCCTTTTATTTCATGCTGCTTCCCTTCGTGTGGTCTCTGAGGTTACAGTAACAGAGTTTGTCAGAGAGTATATGAAAGTTATCAGTGTCGGATAGAAACTTGTCAAGGTCCAGCACATGATCATGTGACTTAACTGAAGGACGTTTCCATCCCAGAGGCACTGGGGAGCTGCGTTATTGGCCGGCCTTTAGCACTGTGCTGCAGTGTGATTATAATGGTGTTTAAAGTGTTTTTCTCTGTGTCTGGGTTTCTCAAGTCATTGTTATTCACAGCAAACACACATTTAAGGAACTTATTCAATAAAGCTTAAATTTCATTTTTGAATTTAATATTTGTTTGGTGAAAAAAGCTTAATATCAATGCCTGGCCTTGTCTGGCTCTTGTGTCTGAATGGGAGCAAATCCCTCCAGCCATGTTTAACATGTAATGGAAAGCATCCCAGAAGAGGTGAAGCTGTTATTGAAGTCCTTCCAACTTCTTAATAATGTTCATGGTTTTGTCACTACCTGCTCAACAAGCGTGGTGCTCGGGCGTCCACAAACTTGTGGTAATGTAAAATATTTTATTCGGTATGAGATATCAAATGTCACGTTTCAGTACTCACCAGAATTCACTGTCCTATGAAAGCCTGTTTCTGACTCAGAGTAAAAAAATACAACAGTTCACCGTGAGAGGAATCTTTAAAATACAAAAGTAGACAAGGTGAGATATTGTCACGAGTGTGTTTGGTAATCAAATGTACGACGATGAAGATGAAATTCCAATAGATGTTAACAATCCACAAGGCAGAATCCACAAAGAGAACCAGATTAACACAACTCTACATTAATTTAAGACTTGACACTGAGCTCGGACTGAACAGAACTTAAATAGCGAAGATAGCGAGACACACACCTGAACATAATGATTAAATCAAATTAACAACCATGGCAACTAAAAAGGAGCGGGAAACAGCGCAAAACACAAATAGAGTTCATGAGGGTGTGACAGATCGGCCCACCTCCCCCCCTCCTCCCGGAAGGCGCGACCTTGCGTAAAGAGAGAGATGAGGTGGCGAGGAGGATGAGGAGATGGCGAAGGAATGGCACACAGGCAGAGAGATGCAGGAGGAGGTTCTGGAGTAGGATGGACAACCGGGAGGAGGACAACAACCAAAATCCAGGGAAGTGCAGGTGGAGGAGATGACCAGGGAGGAGCCTTGAGCAGAAGGAACCAGGTGGCACTCCAGAGTCCAGTCAGGGTTGAGGCCTACGGCAGAGTCGACGGAGGGAGGAGCCATAGTGGAGGTAAGGCTGACGACACCAGGGGGCCTACTAACGGAGACAACGCCGATGGAGAAGGAGCCCAGGGTAGAGACGGAGAGCCGAAGAGCCAGGGTGACACTGTGGGTCCGGAGGGCCAAGGCGGAGGCGAGGATTCAGAAGACCGCGGCGGAACCAGAGTGACTGAGGACCAAGGAGAAACCAGACAGAGCCAGAGAGATGGAAGGACAAGGCAAAGCTGGAGGAGTGGAATCCCGTAGCGATGGAGGGTCTACGACTGACCAAGGTGGAGCCAGAGGGTCGAGGGAGCCCGGTGGAGCCAGTGGGATGACGGGCCATGGTGGAGACGAGGGAGCTAGGAGCCAAGGGCGGAGCCAATGGGTCGAAGGGCCGAGGTGGAATCCAGGACTCGGAGGACGGAGGCGGAGACAGGGGATCATCAAGCCAAGGCAGAGCTGGAGACTGGAAGCCCCGAGGCGAGTCAAGGCTCCAGGATAGTGCTGACTGAGGGTGAGCTGAGGGGCTTACAGGAATCAGTGGAGACAGGGCAGCAGAACTGGCAGGTATATAGAGAGGAGGCAGGAGAGGGAAGCTGGGAGGGAGCATAGGAGGCTCAGGAGATTCAGGAGATCCAGGATATTCAGGAGACTTAAGAGATTTAGGAGGGTCAGGGCTGGACGGAACCAGCGGGAAGACAGATGATACAGGGCAATTCATGAAATTATCCACTTCAACATTATCCAAAATGCTTCCAGAGGCCAGTTGTAGCTCACCCTCAGCAGAGGGAGTGTGAGCGGGGGTTCTTTCCATCCCCTCGTACTCCACTACTACTCCCTCCGGCACGTGCGGTGTTGCCGGCCAGACGTGTCAGGCTCCAGGGCGATGGCAGGCACAGTCGCTTCTTCTCGCTCTGGCTTTTCAGCTGGGTGATGGCTGGCTGGGCTCTGGGTTGGGAGTGGGGCTGACGTCATCATAAACTGTGCAGGCTGATCCACATGAAACCAGCACCTAACTCCACATAGTCAGCAAAACTCCCTTGAGGACCCTCACTGGACAACTGCTCTTATGTGGCGGTATTCAGGCCAGCATGCATGAACGAGCAAAGGCAGTCGTCCGGGAAGGTGGTCTAATGTGCAAGACCCAGGAATTCATCCACATGTTCCTCGAGGGAGCGATCTCCCTGCTCAAGGCAGAGCAGGTTAACGGCAGCAAAGTGATTCAAAGACAAAATCAAACAAAAAATACTGACAAACCGAAAATAAAACGAGATTTAGGCACGCCGCTACATGTTTACTTCTTCGGGTCGGGTCTCCTGTCACTAGTGTGTTTGGTAATCAAACGCACGATGAAGATGAAATTCCAACAGACTTTAATAATCCACCAGGCAGAATCCACAAAGAGAACCAGTCCAACACAACTCTACATTAACTTAACCGACACTGAACTCAAACTGAACAGAACTTAAATAGTGAAGATAACGAGACACACACACCTGAACATAATGATAGGGTCGAATGAATAACAATGACAACTAAAAAGGAGCAGGAAACAGTGCAAAACACAAACAGAGTTCATGTGGGTGTGAAAGATATAAAGCTGCAGTTACAGTATCTCACAGAAGTGAGTACACACCTCACATTTTTGTAAATATTTTATTATATCTTTTCATGTGACAACACTGAAGAAATGACACTTTGCTGCAATGTAAAGTAGTGAGTGTACAGCTTGTATAACAGTGTAAATTTGCTGTCCCCTCAAAATAACTCAACACACAGCCATTAATGTCTAAACCGCTGGCCACAAAAGTGAGTACACCCCTAAGTGAAAATGTCCAAATTGGGCCCAAAGTGTCAATATTTTGTGCGCCCACCATTATTTTCCAGCACTGCCTTAACCCTCTTGGGCATGGAGTTCACCAGAGCTTCACAGGTTGCCACTGGAGTCCTCTTCCACTCCTCCATGACGACATCACGGAGCTGGTGGATGTTAGAGACCTTGAGATGCTCAATAGGGTTTAGGTCTGGAGACATGCTTGGCCAATCCATCACCTTTACCCTCAGCTTCTTTAGAAAGGCAGTGGTCGTCTTGGAGGTGTGTTTGGGGTCGTTATCATGTTGGAATACTGCCCTGCGACCCAGTCTCCGAAGGGAGGGGATCATGCTCTGCTTCAGTATGTAACAGTACATGTTGGCATTCATGGTTCCCTCAATGAACTGTAGCCCCCCAGTGCCGGCAGCACTCATGCAGCCCCAGACCATGACACTCCCACCACCATGCTTGACTGTAGGCAAGACACACTTGTCTTTGTACTCCTCACCTGGTTGCCGCCACACACACTTGACACCATCTGAACCAAATAAGTTTATCTTGGTCTCATCAGACCACAGGACATGGTTCCAGTAATCCATGTCCTTAGTCTGCTTGTCTTCAGCAAACTGTTTGCAGGCTTTCTTGTGCATCATCTTTAGAAGAGGCTTCCTTCTGGGACGACAGCCATGCAGACCAATTTGATGCAGTGTGCGGCGTATGGTCTGAGCACTGACAGGCTGACCCCCCACCCCTTCAACCTCTGCAGCAATGCTGGCAGCACTCATACGTCTATTTCCCAAACACAACCTCTGGATATGACGCTGAGCACGTGCACTCAACTTCTTTGGTCGACCATGGCGAGGCCTGTTCTGAGTGGAACCTGTCCTGTTAAACCGCTGTATGGTCTTGGCCACCGTGCTGCAGCTCAGTTTCAGGGTCTTGGCAATCTTCTTATAGCCTACGCCATCTTTATGTAGAGCAACAATTCTTTTTTTCAGATCCTCAGAGAGTTCTTTGCCATGAGGTGCCATGTTGAACTTCCAGTGACCAGTATGAGAGAGTGAGAGCGATAACACCAAATTTAACACACCTGCTCCCCATTCACACCTGAGACCTTGTAACACTAATGAGTCACATGACACCGGGGAGAGAAAATGGCTAATTGGGCCCAATTTGGACATTTTCACTTAGGGGTGTACTCACTTTTGTGGCCAGCGGTTTAGACATTAATGGCTGTGTGTTGAGTTATTTTGAGGGGACAGCAAATTTACACTGTTATACAAGCTGTACACTCACTACTTTACATTGTAGCAAAGTGTCATTTCTTCAGTGTTGTCACATGAAAAGATATAATAAAATATTTACAAAAATGTGAGGGGTGTACTCACTTCTGTGAGATACTACTGTAAGTCTTATGCTACTGCTACTGTCAAAAAAATCGTACTGACCTAAAATTTTTTGAATGGTAGTGTACATGCTTCCACTATATGCAAAAGAGTTACATTTATCTTAAGATCTCCTTTTGCGCTCCAAAGAAGAAAGAAAGTCAAACAGGTTTGGAACGACATGAGGGTGATTAAATGGTTCAAGAATTTTCATTTTTGAGGAACTATTCCTTTAAGTGCTTGGTGTTGCTTACTCTTGGTGAGGGCATTTCAGAGGGATGTGAAAGGTTTCTTGCTCCATCTGACGTGTCTTCCTGAGGTTCATTTTTTTGTCGTGCGTGTGTAGTATTTGAAGGTATGGTCTCATCTCTAGTAGGACACTGACTATGTCCTCTTCGTCCATCTGCCAATGATGTGGCCTTCTGTTGTTTATCTCTCTCTGTCCTAGGTGGCTCCTCATCTGAGAAGGGATCTTCATCCACCCCCGTCTCTACATCACTGCTATGTTCTCTTTGTATGTGTGCAATGTCCTCAGCTCTGACCAGGACACCGTGGCTTTTGTCGCAACTAAAGTACTTCACACCTCTAAAAGTTCCATCGTGGTTTCCGTTAGGGGCATCCAAAGCAACACCAGCCCAAAACCCATTCGCAAACGCCACGAGACCTTTATATTTCAGCACACCCGGCCTGGAGTTACACACAAGAACTCTGTCTCCAATTGGAAATGAGGACAATGTATCTGAGATTTCATTGCTCACATCTTCAGGAAGTGAGCTAGTGTACTCCGAACAGTCATTTTCCTCTGCGTCCTCACACAGAGCTCCATTAGTATCATCGTTTACCTCCTTTTCCCTCAGATTGTTAGAGTCTAGACTTTGAGACTCTTTTCTTTTCAGAGAGAAGTCCACAGGGAGAGGAGGGAGGTTCTCACTGTTAATTGAGAGATCTTCCACAGAATCAGGTGGAGCTGGAAGTTCCTCCTCACTGGTCCATGTAATAATTTCAAAGGCAGGAGGAGGAGGAGGACAACCGTAGCTGTCAAGACCTGATGCGGCTCCTCCTTTAACGGATGGAGGGAGTTCTGCACTTCCGTAAGACAAAACCTCATCTACAGGAGAGAGAATTTCTGACAGGGTCGACTCTACAGTCGCTTGTCTTTCATAACGTGGCGGTGTACAGCGTTCTTCCTGTTTATTGTTCAAATCATCTGGTACCACAGTGTACTTTTCGGCAAAAACTAAAGAGCAACTACTTGCTTGAGCTGCTTCAATCTTCTCCTCATCGAGATAATCCTTTTCTTCTTCAGACCAAGCGAGTGCTTCACTATGAAACGAAATTGCCTCTGACTTCTCATCTATCTCAGACAGACTGACATCACAAGACGGACTATCCTCAGCCTTTCTTATTTCCACACTTACCGCTTCCAGAATTAAGTTTTCAATAAGTGGATTGTCTGTGACCGTCTCATTTGTACACGCCTGAGATTTTTGTTCAGGAAACTCATTGGTTTTATCGGTTTTGGAGTATGAAAGAGATGACTTCCATTGCCCCCCGGCATCCTGGTCACAGATATTGTGGTTGTTGTTCAGCGTCAGCACACTGTGCAGTCTCTGATTGTTCTGTACATTTAGAGCTGTGGTATCTGGTGTTGTGCTGCCATGGACCACGTTTGTCGTCTTTATGTCCTCTTGCTCCTTGGGTTTAAGATGGCTATTTTTAGAGTCCAATTGGAGATCATCTTTTTTGTCAGATGACAAACTGGATACTATTGGGGCTCTGAGTGAATCTGAATAAGGTTCATGGTTGAGTGTGAAATGCTGGATATTTAATACCGGCTTCATTGGCACTTTAGCTGGATGTTGTGGTCTTTCTCTCTTGAGTGTGCATGTGTCCTCATAAAGACCTTGAACCTTCTTCTGAGTGTCTTGTTCTGAAAGCAATGTTCTGAAAGTGTTATCAAATATTCTCTATTGTCAAAAATCCCGAAGGAATGTTAATGGATAACATAATTTGGAACCAATCCTAACTAATAATAACAATAATTGCAGTTTTTGAAAGAAGTCTCTTCTGCTCACCAAGGCTGCATTTATTTGATAAAAAATACAGGAAACCATAATATTGTAAAATATTATTACAATTTAAAACAACTGTTTTCTGTTTTAATATACTTTAAAATATAAATTATTCCTGTGATGCAAAGCTGAGCCTTTACCCAGCCATTACTCCAACCTTTTCTTCAGTCTTCAGTGTCACATGATCCTTCAGAAATCATTCTAATATGCAGATATTTTATCATTGTTGGAAGCTGTTGTGCTGCCTAATTTTTTTTTTCTCGAACCTGTGATACCTTTTTCAGGATTCTTTGATGAATAAAAAGTTCAAAATAGAAATCTTTTCTAACAATATAAGTCTTTACCATCACTTTTTATCAATTTAACATTACCTTGCTGAATAAAAATATAAATTTCTTCCAAAAAAAGAAAGATAAAAAATGTACTGACCCCAAACTTTTGATTGCAGTATATATATTGTTACAAAATATTTCTATTTAAAATAAATGCTGTTCTATTTAACGTTTTATTCATCAAAAAATCCTAAAAAAAAAAAAAATCACGGGTTCCAAAAAACATTAAGCAGCAACTGTTTCCAACATCGATAATAAATCAGGGTTACCGTGATTTTTCCAAGTAAGACATGTTCCTGGATCAACATCTTTTTGGACAACATTATTGTCCAAAAATATAGAACTAACCCAATCCCTACCCCTAAACCTAACCCTACCCATAATTTATCCCTAAAATCAGAGGGAAATGATGGTTGAATAACAAGTGTGTAGAAGCACCCAACTCTGGTTGTAAGGCTAAAATTGACATTTCCTGTAAACTTATCCCTCAATTCTGATTGGTTGATTGGAATGTTGTTCCAGGAACATGTTGTACTTGGTGAAATCACATTTACCATCAATCAGCATATAAGAATGATTTAAAGAATCACATGACACTGAGGGCTGGAGTAATGGTTGATGAAAATTCAGCTTTGCATTACAGTAATAAATTACATTTTTAAGTATATTAAAATATAAAACTGTAATTGTGCTTCCAATTTTAGTTGATGTAGTCTGATCTTATTTGATTCTAAGAGAAACTCTCTTTGATCCCATTAGGACTGGTTCTGATTTCTTTTTGGACTTTTTTTGACATTGTAACAGTTTTGCATTGTTTATGTGCAGTCACATGCTATAAGTGCCACAGTAAATCAGTATGGGCATTGAGTCATTCTGCTCACAGGATGAGTCAGCAGAAACTAGACATAGCCTAGTGTAAATGAATTGCAGTACACTCAATAACAACAGAAAGACATCTATCAAAGAGAAAACTGTGAAAAAGTAAAATCAGACTATATGATGTCTGACTGCTGTCTTTCACTGTCTGAAATGAAGATGAAGACTGATAATTAAGCGTTCTATTAACAGAAAAAATGTGTTCATGGAAAGCTTCAAAATCCCCAAAACACAGAACCCTCTACCCACCATTAACTTCAGGTCCTGATTTCAAAGCCTTCACAGAGTCACGCTGACATGAAGTGCTTCCACATTCAGTCTTGCTGATTCTTTCTGGACTGATAAGGTGAAGAGAAGCCTGGTTCTGTCGGCTGTACCTGTGAGAGGGACTGGCTGGAGGATTATTTGATTCTGCGACTTGCAGAATATCCTGCTCGGCCGGGACGAATTCCACTTGGTTCCTCTTCCTTCCTAAAGTCCACATTTCATCTGACACCAGTGTTTGTGACACCCGTGTCACCGCGGGTTCTTATGGGTTAACAGAGGCACCTCAAAGACACCAATAGTGACAGGAACCTCAAGGCGGCATTACAGTGCCTTAAACCCCCAGTGAGCAAGCCAAGACAAAATTAAATGTAGGTAGAAACCTAGGGAGGAACCAAGACTCATCAGGGGGGACCCATCCTCCTCTGGCCGGAAAATATAAAAATACTGCCTAATTGATTTATAATATTTATGGCTAGATGATAATTAACAAAATAACCACCCAATTTGAAAATGGCTATTGAGAACAACTCTTACATGTATTCTACAGGACTTACCTGTATTCAACAACTCTTACCTGTACTCTACAAACCTTACCTGTATTTCACAGGACTTACCTGTACTCTACAACTCTTACCTGTACTTTACAATTCTTACCTTTAGTCTGCAACTCTTACCTTCAGTCTACAACTCTTATTTTTAGTCAACAACTCTTACCTGTACTCTACAACTCTTACCTTTAGTCTACAACTCTTACCTTTAGTCTGCAACTCTTACCTTTAGTCTGCAACTCTTATCTTTAGTCTGCAACTCTTACCTTCAGTCTACAACTCTTATTTTTAGTCAACAACTCTTACCTGTACTCTACAACTCTTACCTGTACTTTAAAACTCTTACCTTTAGTCTACAACTCTTATCTTTAGTCTGCAACTCCTCACAGACTTTTCAGCAGCACATCTCTGACTCTGCAGCAACATTTCTGGAGGATCCTACAGCAAAAGAATGAAAACTTGCAAATTGATAAATAAATACATTGAATATATTAATGACCTAAGCAATAAACTAGATCATTGAATAAAATAAAATAAGTGGTTTTTGAAGTGTGTTTTATACTACAATAATTTCACCCTATTTTCTCTCTCATAAAGTCCCCAAAACACTGTTTTGTGTGTGTTTACTGTGTTAATAGCAAGATGCTGAGCGCCACCTTGCGTCTGTATCATCATACAGCAAACGTATTTTAATCACAACCTATATTACATTTCTATTGATGCAGCCATGTCAGATCACAAGCAACAAAACGTTTTTTATGGAAGTGAAGTGATCTGAAAATGTTTATTAAAAAATACAAATAGCAGTAGTTAATGGTCTAGCTTTGCATCCTCGGGTGTCATGGAAACAAATCTACATAATAAGAAACGTGATTTGCCTCTAATTCGGTTCATACGGAAAGCGCAATTAACGATTAAAATGACTGATATGCAAATGAAACCATTAATGCAATATGAAAAGGTTAGATTAGTAACGAGCTTCTCGTCGACTCACCAGCAGCTGCAGATGTGAAAACAGATGAAGAAAGTGAAGCAGCACAAGATTAACCGCCGATCATTCAGTTCAAACATCGCGCTCTGTGACGACATAAGCCGCTCATAGAACGTTCACGCTAAACAGCAAGAATCCAACAAATACTTAAAACACTTCCTGTTCCCTGAAAGTAAAAAAGACCCATTTCAAAACCGATATAAATAGGCCTATACTTCTAAGTTCAGAGGTGCATTTCTCTATAACTCATATACCTCCAGTGAAAATAAAAATAAACATATTTTTGTGTGTGAATGTTTAAGTTATTTCTGGTTCATTATTACTATTAGTGAAATCATAAATGCAGATGTTTCAAATCACATGCAAAAAGCATAACCTCTTTTATAGATTTGAATTAGACTGGTTTTCTGCTGTAGGAGAATCTCACACAATTCAAGAGTGATCAATCTTTTTTTTATTGCTGTTGAAGTTGAAACTTGCTGATCTCTGTGCTATAGGCCTACCAGACTTTATATTTAGCGTTTACATGTAAAGTTGGTCTAAAAGGTTTTTGAATGCGCCTGATGTAATGTATCATAGACAAGTAGCTGAAATGTTGCTAGCGAATGAGTCAGAAGCTTGAACTTGTCTTGCGTTGTAATGTAACTTCAACTTCAAGTACTAAATCAGACGAAGCATGTTCAGTAGGGGAAACTCTTCCTTTTTTTTCTATTGGTGCTAAATAAATTTAGAAAGGTTATAAATAGGTTACTGTGTGTCCAAACAGATTATGATATTTAAAATTATGATAATTTAAAAAAATATATAGAACATTAGAAGACATTTAATGTATGATATTGAATATTTTTATATGTTTTTTGGTACTTTTACGATATTTACTAATATCTCGGACACTTTAGACACTTTTGCCTGCGTAATTAACCCGACAATGGCACTGGTAAGTGAAATTTTAGTTTATTGCCTGAGGCTGCATCCACACCACTAGGTGTCAGCATAAGCCAGCACGAAATGTTGATTGATTCCACCAGTAGAGGGCAGCATTGTAACACCAGCCGTTTATTAACATTTGACACTTGCTGTTAACGGCCTAAAACCATAATGTTTACACTAACACAACTTATATATCATTTAGATGAACAATTATCATTACATATGTTATCAAAAGATAATGTGATTGTGATTGATAAAGCCAAACAATCCTTTTATAAGTGGCACCGTAACTTTAAACAAGTGGCAGCACTAAGTATAACTAACAGTTATAAGTATGAATGGATGTAGAATGGGAGTATAAGTCCTGAATGGAAGATTAATGACACCACTACACTTTTTCTCCAAAAACTACCATCAGTCAACACTAGCAAAAGAACAGTCTGTGACACTCGGTTGTGGGACGGGTATGAAAAACACTGAATGTTTTGTACCCTGTGTTGAGGTAGCTGCCCTTGTCATTGCCAGGAGCTATGTGACGGTTGAGGTCAAAATTCCTAAAATGTTCAACATGCAGTACTAAAAAAAGGCTTTGTTGTGATTCAGATGTCATCAATACATACTTCTACTCGGAATATACAGACATTATAGGACAGTCTATGATTTAGAGATGTTGTAAATGTGGCGGCTCATGAGTAAGTCATGGGGTTTTGCAGTAGGGTGTGGCAGATGATTGTTCATGTCGAAGCAGAGAGAAAGTATGTAAATATGAGTGGGCAGGCATTAGAGGAGGACAGAAACACGCCAAACACACGAGAAAAGGACAGGGTGGGATAGACATTTTAACCGTTTTTGCTGACTTGTGACAAACACAAACTGCAGCAATCAGCATGAATGAGAATTTCTGTTAAGAAACACCATAAAGAACGTTTCTACATAAATGCAAATTAGTATATTTTTAGTGTACTGTCCCTTTAAAAGATCCTAATACAGGATTTGTTTTCTGACAAAATCAGGTTGACAAAAACACAAACTCTCTTTATTTCCTTTTTATTGTTTTTAATATGAACATAGGTCTATGACACTCAGGCACCATGCATTTTACAATGAAATTATGATGAATTATAAAATATACTAGACATTCGATCATCAAAGGCTTTGAAAAGAGAACATTCCATGCATTCTTAAAGGTCAGAAAGTTCAAGACCTCCATCCAGTAAAAGCATGTCTCAAATATTTAAAGACTGCAAATCACTCATAACAGTCTCATAACGGTCAATGTTGCATACACACCAGAATAAATATAATTTGGAAACATACCAACCCAAACCAAACATTCAACATTTGGCATCCATAATGTAAAAAAAAAAAAAAAAAAGTTTATACAAAAAAAAAAATACTACATTTGAGTAGAATTGCTTACCGTCAAATTAATGCACATTTTGCACCATGTACAATTACGAAAAATAGGAAAATTCGTAAATGAACAGAAATGATCATTTGGCATATAGAGTGATGTTTTAATCAACTTAGTGGGTTTAAATGCAACATTTCCATTCAAACATTCCAAATTCAGATGGTATTTTACCATGTATCCTCATATCATTATAGTTATTATTAAACCTCCTATTATTATTTGTACACAAAATAATGATACATACTATCTGTACATACAACACCAAAAGAGAAGAAAACCCACTAGATTTTAAAGCAGTATAGTAAGAAATAAGCAGTTTTGTTAAGACAAGAAGACTGATTAACAGTCCGAATCTGTCCGGCCTGTGTTTAAAACTTTTATGTATATTATAAAACATATTACAGCCTTCTTATATTATCAATATCCTCACAATTCCAATTTTCCAGCTAAAATGTCTTCCCCACCATCATGATACAGATATTTTTCTACAAATATAAAAAAAAAAATAAAAAAAAAATGCAACTATTTTAAAAGTGATTACATTCCCATGATATAATTATTATATCATGGATAGTCTGTGTTTCTGTATATTAATAAAAAAAATACAGGCAACAGCCAGTATAAAAAAGACATTGCAATAAATCCCTGAGGAATTTTTTTTTTTTGAAAAATAACAAAAATACGAGGCTAAATAGAAAGTGTTCATCCTATATACAGTAGCAATAAAGTCTTGTGTGTTATCCACTTTTTCGTATTTCAGAATATTTGTATTGCTGGTGTTCCGGTAGTGTTTTGAGCTTTCTTTATCCATTGTCCTTATTAAATATCTTCCTGATTGACAATATAATACATTCAGATGCCCAGGTCTAAAAAAAAATCTTCTCTGTGGAACCCTTTCTGTAAAACACAAAGCAAAAAGCACCTTGTGAGAGAGTGACGGGCAAATAGTTGTTCCAGGTAGCATACTGGCTAGCATCCCAGATTTGAAGTAAAAGAAAGAACACGTTTTTTTCACCCGTGGCGTTCTATGGTGTGTTAGGACATGCTCACGAGGAAATCACCTGAAATCCACATCGCCAGGGTGTGGCTGAACATCTACCTCCCATATCAACATGCTTTAAGTGTGTATGTTTGTGTGTTTTGGAAATAAGCAACTCAAATATGAGTGTGTTATTTCCCGTTTGATTATCTAGTACGATATGTGTTCATTCGAATGTTTGTGTGAATGTGTGTGTGTATGTGGGCTTTTAAACAGTCTTCAAATAACTGGAAAATGTCTAGAGGGCAGGGCGGAATGACAGCAATCGTGATGTGCAACTGTACTAGTTTGCAATGACAACACAAAGACACATTCTGAGTGTGTTCTTTTTTTCTAAACTGAATGAAAATGACGAAAAAAATGGTAAAAAAAAAAAGTTACATTTTTACAATTTATGAAGTAAATGTGAATAGTGCTTGGTGTGTAAGTCAGGTTGCTAGGTTGCTATATGGTTGCTAGGGTGTTGTAGGTGGTTTCTAGGGTGTTCAAAAGGCTCTCAGATCATAAGCGTCCACTCTCAAGTCTCTATGATATTCTGGTCTCTAGATATGGCTCAAGTCTCTTTTTATGTAATTTTCAAAAATCATAAGTTTGGTCATTTAGAAAAGTGCATGATTTGACAAACCATGTGATTTGAGATCATTCATGTCTGTAGCACAAAGGCTGTGGGAACAAGCTATGCACCAAAGTTTAATACTTAGTGTAAAGTCAAAGACCACTGCTGTATTTTCAAACAAAACACTGACACCTACTGGTGTGGATGAATTACACAACACCAAACGTTTTCAAATACAAATGCTTTTGCTGGTGTATTTGTCGTCTATAATTAAAAATGATCTGATTGTTGGTGAGCTAGCGAAATAAAGTGACTTGTATTTAGTTAGCTGTGTGATCTCAAAATGGTGGCCATTATTAGGGGGCGACCTGCTTCATGAAGAATATGTATACAAGTCTCATGAGTGTGTGCACCAATTTTGAAACAGAATTGTCAGAATACTACTAAAGTTTTACAAAGAAAGAATTTTTAAAAATACTTTCCCAAAGTAAATGTGAGTAGTGCTTGCTATGTAAAAGTCGCCTTTACGATGCAATGGTGTTATGGGTGGTTGCCAAGGTGTTGCTATGTAGTTGCTAGGGTGTTCTGGGTGGTTGCTAGAGCTTTGCTACGTGGTTGCTGACTGTCCCAAATCACTAGCTTCCAACCCCAACTCTCTATGATATTCTGGTCCATAGATATGGCTCGGTGGCTCTTTCAATGTAAATCAATGGATGAAAATTACAACTTTCAATCATTAAGAAAAGGGCATGATTTGACAAGATGTTTTTCATTCATGTCTGTTGCACAAACAGTTATGCACCAAAGTTTAATACTTAGTATTTTGCTTGATAATACAACAGTGGTCTCAGACATTAAACTGACACCTACTGGTGTGGATGAATCAGGAAAGAAGGAAAGTTTTCAGCAGTGTTGCCAAGTCTGTGGTTTTCCCACAGAATTGGGCTACTTTTTGCTGCCGCGGGTTGAAGTGAGATTTCGACCTGGAAGGAGGGTTTGACCCTCCAGAATGTGATTTTGGAGCCATTTTCTCCTGGAACGCGACTGGGCTAGTTTTGGCTATGATTGCGCTAATTTTGAATACCAATTGGGCTGGTTTTGTTATGCAGACCTGGCAACCCTAGTTTTCAATTACACATACTATTGTAGAAATGGTTTATTTACAGGCGCATTTGTGTCACATGACTAAAAATATCTAATAATCGCGATGTGATAAATTTTTGGCTGGTTTGGCTGGTCACTCTATGTAAAATATAAGTTTCATGTGAGTATACGTAAATTTTTAAACACATTTGTTAAAAACCTTTTCAAAATACATTATGTATGTAATTTATTTTATTATAATACTTACGTTTCTGTAATCTTTGTGTAGTTTCTTGTACTGGAACATGTTGCTCAGCACTGTTGCCGCAGCTTTAGCAGCTTTCAGTTTACCAGGGCTAGATGAAAATTTAAATTGCAATGTTAGTTTGGAAACAATATAAATTAGTGTTGATTTTTGTTGTATATTTGGGTGTCTTTTAGTTTTACCTGCTGTCATGAGAGGTCTTGATGCCCACCAGCTTGGGCAGACCATCGAAGAAGGCGATGTCTCGTGCAGCCACCATGCTGCTGGTCACCAGGTTGTTGAGGGCTCCACAGACGTTCACCACCACGTCATTTGACGACTCCTTCTGGCGGCCATCGATGGGCAGTTTGGTAAGCAAGGGATTTACCACATTTGTGGCTAAAATGAAAGAAATAGAACAATGAGCTTCTCTAAGGCCACAGAGATGTGATGGACTGAAGTTTTGTGGCTAAAGAAGGAAGCCTCACCCATGTCGTTCTTGTCCTTGGCATGAAGGGAGAAGTTTCTGAGTAAGCCGGTGAGAGAACGCAGCTCTAGATTGTTGTCGGTCCTGAGGAGATCCAGAATAACAGGCAACATCCTATTCTGCTCTAATGCCACACGACTCAAGACGGACGCCCACTGAAATATAAAAGAGAAGTTTAATCGTCTTTTTCACGCTAAGCGCTCTGGATTTTTTTTCTCAGAGTTGAAGAATGTTCAACTTTGGGTAAAAATGTAGCGCTCATCACTGTCACTTTTTAGTCAGCTGTCCAATCACAGTCGAAGAGGGGCGGGGCAATGACCAACTGTCACACATCCTGCTTGTACTACGACTGTGTTTTCAGCAGATCTCCTGGTGTTTTCCGCTGGCTAAAAGCGCTTTGGTGGACACACAGCTTAATGTGAGGTGAACCCCTTACCCTCTTGTCTCCAGCTGTGAGGTTCTGCAGGGCTCCGGCCGCGGCCTCTCGCGTTGTGGAGTTGATCTTGCAGCGCTGCAGCACCTGGTTATACAGCTCCACTATTTTAGGGTGCCAGAGCCACTCGATATCTGTGGGCTGCCGTGACACTTCTGTAAATGTGGTGAGGTCCTGATTTTGTCTCTGGAAGAAAAGACAAAATATGAGATTAAGAATGAAAATAGGATCGTTAAAGAGGAAATTGAAAGCAGCTTCTTACA